TCAGTTCTAGATAATAGTAACTGTCAGATGGGACAAAACTTTAAATTCAAGCACAAACTTCAAGACAAATCTAAAACAAACTCCTTCGAGGAAAATGCATCCTAACGACCAAAGTACAAAATCATAATCTAATGCTTACAAACGCTGCAGAGTTATGCATGTATCTAGGGCGTAAAGAGAGGGTTTAAGGCCCGCTGTTGATCTGATGTATTTTCAAATCATCGGCAAACAACAGCGAAGAACAAGATAAACAGTTAGGGAGGTCATTAATAAAATAGAGAAAGAGAGAGGGCCTAAGTTTGATCCGTGTGGTACTCCGGATGAAACCAAGTATGGTGAAGATCTGAAACGTAGTTCTATTATGCAAGTAGGATGAAAAAACATCCAATAGATGATTGCTAAAACGAAAGAGTTGCAGTTAGCGATGATTTTTTTGGTGACTAGTCTTATGTTATGTATAGGTTAATTCAAACACAGCGGGCGGTAAATACATTTTAGGCAAGAAAGGAGCTCAGAAGTCGGATGCTCGCAAAAACCTATTCATACAGTACGCTTTACGCAGTGTCGTAGATAAAATTTAGTTAAGCACTTACTGATAAAAATAATATACATGTTCAGAGAAATTAAAAAGCTGCTTGAAGTTTTTTCTTGAATTTTCCATTAGCAATTTGTATAACCATAGCCTACGACAAGCTGTAATTACGTTTTCTGTGATATACAGGGTGTCCGCAAAGTTGGGGTTTTCCTTTACACGACGTGTAGATCTTGAAAACATAAGCAATTTTTCTTAGTACCATATACACCAGTGTCTTAAGGTAACCGAGATAAAGGGCTCTGCAACATCAAAAATATCTGAATACCGTCCTGTAGCCGCGACCCGCCGCGATATCCCCGATTGGTACAAGGTCTCAACCCGACGGCAGAACTGGGTCGGGGTCAGTGTGTCAGGTTAGTATGCAACCTTCAACCGACGGTTACGGTCACGCGTGTAGAGGTAAACGAACTCGTATAATCGATTGCGTTTCAAAAAACAACAAGCACTAGAGACGTGGCTAGAGAAGTGCAAGTATCAAAAACTAAAGTATGGCAAACGCTGCCTGAAGAGGGGCTGTATCCGTTTCACGTCCAACGTGTACAAGCCCTTCAACCTGACGATTTTCCAGCAAGAGTGCGGTTTTGTGAGTGGTTGTTGCATCAACATGACAATAATCTGGACTTTTTGAAGTGCATATTGGTGACAGACGAATCTACGTTCACGCGTAATGGGGTGAATAACTTTCGCAACACTCATGTTTGGTCAGTAGAAAATCTGCACGCAATTACGTAACATTTTGCCTTCCTTGTTAGAAGATGTGCCATTAAGTGTAAGACGATCAATGTGGTTTCTGCGTCTGCTCGGTAGCGCTTCAGCTGATTTCATTTTCTGTTGGAGCGGTATGATTTCGTCAACTGGAGAGTGAGTACCTTTTCCTTTATTTTTTTTTTACTTGGTCGCCTCGTTTCACTACACATTACCTTTGTTATTTCAAGGGTAGTTGTTTCTGAAAAGGAAAACCCCAACTTTGCGAACACCCTGTATAATCTCTACATTTGCATATCAAAATTGTCAGAAGGTAATCACCATTATTGTCACACTAATGATCACAGTATCTACTGTGATCTGTCATTATCACCGAATGTGGTATTTATTGGCCGTGTAGTCTGGACCTCAAAAATTATTGTTGTATAAGGCGAATTGTACATCTGTAATCACTGACGTCTAGGGTACATTTAAGACAAAAATATAGACGAAACTACATGTGAAAATTGTCCCCACAGAAATCCAAATCTGGTTACTGATTAAAGTATATTGCTTAAAATCGCTTTCCAAATTTTCAGAATTATAGGTCGCTCCTAGAGGCACCTGATTTTAATAACGTCTTCATCCTAAAATATTTTTCAGGAGCACAATTTTGGACCAAAAGAAGTTTTTTGAAAATAGCATTGTTGCATTGTTATACATATTTGTAAAACGTATAGGCTCAACCATCTTTTTTTTATTTTTCCAATATAATGAAAGTTTTACAAGCCCAAGAATCCTCTATATCAGTGCTTTTTGCGGTTCTTTCAGATTCACTAAATATATATGTGCATTGAGTTTTGGATAATCCAACTTATGATACACTCTAAAAATGTCTAAAATTGGAAATACAGGTAAAAATGAATTTTTTCGATTCATGGTGACTTTTTGGGCTGGAAAACATGATTTCGCCAGCGGAATTGAAAAGTACGTAAAAAAATTAATACGTACAGTGAGTGATTGTGTTAGGCAAGTATTCCTTTCTTAAAAAAACGTAAAAAATTGCAAAACATAAGGGAAATTGCGGTTATTCCTATTTTAGGAATTTTCCCAGCAAAAAAATCACAATTCTGAGAGTGAACCCTGTGAAAATGCACAAGTTATGGGATCCTACTTTAAAATACCAAAAATTTGGAAAATCGGTGATAATACAGGTTTCCAATTTTCTGGACAAGAAGCGTTAGTTTAAAAATAGAGCTGATAAAAAAATTCCTTTCCTAATTAAAATTATAAAAAAGTGAAGATCAGTGAAATTGTGGTTATTCCAATTTTCGCAATTTTCCTAGCACCAAATCAAAATTTTCATTGTGGAATCTAAAAAATAGATATTAAGTCTTTGAGTAAGCCAACTTATGATACTTTAAGATTAAAATGTGAAAAGCTCGACAAACTCGATAAAAATGCTGCTTTTCCAATTTTTGTCGATTTTCCGGTTAAAAGTTCATAATTTTGTTAGTGGATGTGAGAAGAATGCAAAATAATATTGATACATAGTGAATTTTTAGGTTTGCGAAATCTTTATTATCCAACCAAAATACAGAAAAAAATTCTTTTTCTTTTTGTCGAAATATATATATATATATATATATATATATAGGGTGTCCGCAAAGTTGGGGTTTTCCTTTACACTACGTGTAGATCTTGAAAACATAAGCAATTTTTCTTAGTACCATATACACCAATGTCTTAAGGGAACCGAGATAAAGGGCTCTGCAACATCAAAAATATCTGAATACCGCCCTGTAGCCGCGACCCGTCGCGATATCTCCGACAGGTACAAGGTCTCAACCCGACGGCAGAACTGGGTCGGGGTCAGTGTGCCAGGTTAGTATGCAACTTTCAACCGCCGGTTACGGTTACGCATGTAGAGGTAATCGCGTAGACGAGAATCGCTCAACAAGCACTAGAGACGAGGCTAGAGAAGCGCAAGTATCAAAAACTAAAGTGTGGCAAACGCTGCGTGAAGAGGGGCTGTATCCGTTTCACGTCCAACATGTACAAGCCCTTCAACGTGACGATTTTCCAGCAAGAGTGCGGTTTTGTGAGTGGTTGTTGCATCAACATGACAATAATCCGGACTTTTTGAAGTGCATATTGGTGACAGACGAATCTACGTTCACGCGTAATGGGGTGAATAACTTTCGCAACACTCATGTTTGGTCATTTTCAACAAACATTTTCGGTGAATGTTTGGGCTGGCATGGTGAACGGTATGCTCATTGGACCATTTATTCTCCCAAATCGATTGGACGGGATGCAATACCTAGACTTTTCACGCAACATTTTGCCTTCCTTGTTAGAAGATGTGCCATTAAGTGTAAGACAATCAATGTGGTTTCTGCGTCTGCTCGGTAGCGCTTCAGCTGATTTCATTTTCTGTTGGAGCGGTATGATTTCGGGCAGAGACGTACTTAGCCCTTCTCGTCAACTGGAGAGTGAGTACTTTTTCCTTTATTTTTTTTTACTTGGTCGCCCTCGTTTCAGTACACATTACCTTTGTTATTTCAAGGGTAGTTGTTTCTGAAAAGGAAAACCCCAACTTTGCGGACACCCTGTATAATCAAAATCCCATTTACCCTAAAGGGTGAAGGGTATGTCTGAATTATATGATCCTCAAATCTTTGAAAAATCGCGGTTATGTATATAGCAATATAGCAACAGCAATTGGGTGGGTGATCCAGATCTAGATACCTTCGAGGACAATTTTCATACGTAGTTTCGCTTGTAGGCTTTGTAATAATGGAAACATACATTCAGATCACCTAACAAATCATGCTATAATTTTATATATATATACATATATAGTATTCATAGTTAATTGCCTTAACTGTTAGGAGAAAATATCCTTTAATTTCTTTGGGTGGAAGGCAAAGTATTGCAAAAGTACACTCTTATAACTTAAACTCTCAAGCTTTCGAAGATCTATGTCTTCATCGTCTGGAGCTGGAAACAGTTATTGACAATAGCAACAAATAACAATTAGGAGAAAAATAGTTACTTGCTAACTCGGCGAGATTGTTGCTGAAATTGTCTTTAAACAACAGTTTTCTTTTATTCGTCGACTATGTGTTCCCTTCACTGTTGTTTAAAAACAATTTGAGCAACAATCTCGCCGACTTAGTAACTATTTTCCTCCTAATTGTTATTTGTTGCTATTGTCAATAATTGTTTCCAGCTCGAGACGATGAAGACATAGATCTTCGAAAGCTTGAGAGTTTAAGTTATAAGAGTGTGCTTTTGCAATACTTTGCCTTCCATCCAAAGAAATTAAAGGATGTATATATATATAGAGAGAGAGAGAGATACAACGTGAGATGCCGTCTGGAATCTCCAAGCCTCCAATCATCTGTTGATTCTAATGTTAAGCCAATCGAGCATAGTACCCACAAACAGTTATTGTCATATCGTCAGTCGTTCATACAATTGTAGGACGCCTTTATGGCCTGAATGAATGGAATGGCCCGGAAAATAGTGGTGCATCCACCGAGAGGCAGACCTTGATGGCCTACTTGATTTTAATAGTTTTCTACTGTTTCGTATCAGCGCTCTATTTTGAGGTTATGTCACAAGTATCTATTTGCATCAAATTATCCATGCTTATGATTTATATCATGTTTTAACAGCCTGAACATTCTTACAATTCAAAAAGGAAACAGAGGCTCACAATGGGAGAGCGCTGACGCTGACACAGAACAGTAGGAATCTAGAAATAGCCCAGCCTTTCTGAAGGAGAGAAAATACTGTGAGAATAAAGGAGGTCATAAAGGCGTGCTACAATTGTAGGTTTCAGATTCAGCTCATGGTTGATGTGTTTGTATCGATATTTATACGGAGAAAACCGTAATATGTCATTTAACGTAGTTACCGTCAGGTGACCCGTACTCCAACAGACTATACTGTCCATAAACAGTGGTATGCGGGATATGCTGGGGGATGTGTTGCGTATAATCGCCATTCAAATACGACCTTTCTATGCCCATATAACTACTTGTATAGCTCTGACACTCGTTTAAACTTTCTGGACTAGAAACACCGTTATAGTCTTGCATGAAACTGGCATTGGATATACTGCCACTAGTAACAACTGCTGTACCGAACGTTTCTTGAAAATTCCTCGAAGTGATGCTATTGCCGTGCTTGCTGATTGACACTGTGACATTGCCAACGTTAACGACTATATTGTCGTCTGTGTTCGAGTACTTCTCGATGTCGTTCACAGCTTGAGACAGCGCGTAGATGTAATTGTGAGCAAACCTCAAAGTCTCGATCTTCGTAAGCTTGGTATCTTCAGGAAACGTAGGCAATACGCAACGTAGCTTTTCCAATGCTTCATTAAGCATATGCATCCTGTTTCTTTCCCTATCATTCGCTTTTAATCTCCTCACTCGTTTTATCCTCATGATCTGCGTTGGGCTCTTTTCTCTCGTCACTCTGTTCCTCCCGGTGGCGTATTTCCTTTTAGGCTTAGTTTTGGTCGGTGTCGATGTCTTCACGCCATCTGACGCGTTCAACGCCTGGCAGAACTCCAACTCTTCCTTATCTCCGAATAAGTTCCTGCGACACGGTGGCGGGTACTCCCAAGGCGTACGAGGAGTTTCCTCCAAAGCCGCGTGATACGCCGAGTTGAAGTGCTCGTACAGCTGGTGATTGTAGTATTTGTTGTTGTTTTTGGTGGGCGTCGCATCGTTGTTATCGAAATCGAAGTAGTCGCTGCGGTCGTCTGCCAGTTCGGAAGATTCCGACTTGAAGGACACTTCGAAACCCGAATCGCAGCTGTCTTCGTAGTACGGCGATGGGTATTTTATTGCCTCCATCTGAGGAGATGCTGGAACAACAGAAATGCTGTCAGTCATGGCCATAAGCGCAAATATCGAAATATAGGTATATACAGGGTGATAGGGGGTCTCAAACCTTATCGAATGGAACCCCTATACGTGTAGTCCGAAATTTCATAGTTCAGAAGATATTTCTGTACCCCAGAGCCAGGCTAAGTTAAGTCCATTTTTGTCAAAAAAATGTTAATCTTATGATAATATTGTGAATTTTCATTTGCTACATGCAGCGACCATCTATCTTTAATAATAAGGAATTTACGACTTTTTAACTCATATCTAGTCGTATTCAATACAATGCAAGAAAAATATTTCATATATATATAGTTGTCTCAAAACTACTTATTTGGACTTAACCATTCTGGCTCGGAGGTACCGATTTGCAATTTTGCGAAATTTCGAAAAAACAGGATAGTGAACTTTCATCGCAATTACATCAAAACCATTATGTTTAGGACTGTGATTTGCTTCGGAGATGAGCTAAATGGTCAGTTTTAGCAATGGTTTTGTTACTACTATAACAGAGCTTACTATAAATCAACGCAAAAGATCTTAAATTCATTTTTTTGTGAAAAATTTCTTCCATCCCTCAACTTTGGACAGCGGTAGAAAAAAATTGAGGTTGTATTTCATTATTCATTCTATTGTAAAAACTATTTCAATCCATGTAGAGTAATCCCTGAAAATTTCAGAAAAAACAAAGAAAACGATAAAACCTAGTTGTTGGTTTAAACTTCAAGACAAGATAAGAATCATATTAAATGTTTGAATTGCCGTCGATATACTTCTCGACAATGAGCTTGATATTGCGGAAATGAAATGAAATGGTCTGGTTTTGTATACTACATTTATTAAGTACCCGCACAAAAAATTATCGAGTGATGTGAGGTCAGCAGACCGAGGTGGCCATTCAATCGTACCTCGTCTACCTATCCATCTTCCAAAATTTGCTTAACCCACAAATCATTTGCATTTCTGTTCTCTAGGTTTGAGTTACACGAATTATTCTCAATAACTCTACTAACAAAACTCAGCGGACATTTGAATGTCAGAAATGACATTGCATAAGAAACACAAAAGTTACTATCGGTTTTTGAAAAACTGCAGATTTGTCAACATCGAGGGTATCATCAACGGATCCGCCGTGGTTTCGAACCCAAACCTACCAATTACTTAACTTAAGATATTCGATGCGTTCCAAACTTTTGTTACAGTCTGTATATATACAGTGGACATAGTTGTTTGCCGTAACCAGCTAGGAGAAAGTATCATTGATATGTCTTTGAAAACCCGACAAAAATTGCAAAGTGCGCACTTTCAACTTTAAAACTCCAGCTTTCGATGGTCTATGCCATCATCATCAGGAGCTAAAAACAAATTTGGAAAATGGCAAATATAAACAATTAAGTGATGTTTCATTACCAAGTCGGCGAGATTATTGATGAATTGTTCTTAAAAGAAAGTGGATGAGACCACATAGTAAAACGATAAAAAACTGGATTTATGAGGTTCATTTAAAAAAATTAGTAAAAAATCATAGAGCTATGCAGGGTGTTTCAGTTTATTGTTGCATAACTTTAAGATTCGATACAACTTTTAAAATTAATGCATAAAGTCTATATAAACATGGGTCGAAAAATGCGTGGCTTCCGGAATACAGGGTGTTTAAATGTACTTTCAAAAATAGTTTTTTTTAAATATTTCGAACAATATTTGATGTATAACAGCGAAAATTGGTATACAAGGGTTTTTTGGTACGACAAAACGAACCATGGGCATAGTTTTACTGTAGCCGCTAGAGGGCGCTCTCTACTGTACCTGTAGTGTATTAAAATGACCGAAATTTTTTTCTTAGTGCAATTTTTTGATTTTTGGATAAAAAAAGTGATTCTTCGCACATTTCAACATGTTTGAGATATTTCGATTTTTAAGGTTCGATGCATTTTTAATTATTTATGGGAAAATAATATAATATATATTTTTTTACATTTTCGATTTGGGCATTACAAGTAATTAAGATGATCGTTTTGATTGTGTTTTTAAACACATCAATAATTCCTAACTCCAAATAAACACAAAAAACAGAATATTAATTTGTTTAATTTTCCAATATTATTTTTAACAAATTAAATTAATTATTTACAACTAAAATGCTATTGGATAGTTAGGACAAACATACAAAATCTAAAGTAGTTGCTCGAAATGTAAACCCAAATGTTCAATACACAATTCACATCTACGAATGATCGAACGTCGTATAGCGATATTCAACTAAGGCCTTATTTCACCACATGCATTCCTGATTCTGTCTATTAGCATATGTCTTGTGGTTACGGGAGTCTGGTACACTTTTTCTTTTAGAAATCGCCACACAAAGAAATCTAATGGATTTAGGTCAGCGGATCGTGGAGGCCAGGCGACTGGTCCTCCACGACCGATCCATCTTTCTGGATAATTTTCGTCCAGCCAGTTTCGAACTATTTTCGAATAACGAGCTGGACAACCATCAAGCTGGAACCAGGCCAATCTTCTTAAATCTAACATAACATCATCCCATATATTTGCATGTTCAACCTTTAAAAATTCCAAGAAGGTCGCAGCATTTAACCTTGCAGGCAAAAGGTAGGGTCCAAATGGTCGATTACGGTAGATACCAATCCACACGTTCACACTAAATGCATGCTGAAAATTTTTTTCCTGAACTGCATGCGGATTTTCACGCGACCAAATATGTTGATTATGAAAATGTACCACTCCACGTCTAGTGAAGTATGACTCATCGGTCCATAAAACGTTACTTAAAAACTCCCTATTATTATCAGTTCTATCAAGAATCCACTGACTAAATGTGATTCTTCGTTCTCCGTCCCCTGGCTGTAGTCCTTGCACAGGTTGCAAATGGTAAGGACGTCTATGGTCATTTCTAAGAAGACGGTGAACATGGCTTGCTGAAATTCCCAAGGCACCAGAAACTCTCCTAACACTTGTGGTCGGATCTCTATCAAACTCACGCAGAATCATACGGGTAAATCTGCGCTGACGAACATTTATGTTTTGATCTCTTTGGAGATTTCCAAAACCATTTTCAATTATTTGGCGATGCACAAATACTGAGCGAGTTGGATGTCGTCTGGTTGGAAATCTTCGTGCGTATTCTCTGGCTGCTTCTGCTGCGTTTCCATTTACAAAGCCATACACAAAATGAATGTCCGCTAACTCTTGATTGGAGAATAAAAATGGCATTTTTAAAAAACATACAAAAAAAACAGGTAAAAGAAGCTAAATTTCGTGCATTCACAATTGCAAAAAAACGTTTCAGGTTTCAACAGACAACAAAACTAACTGTCAACTAATTGACGTTTAACCTTATTCTGCTTTCAATTTCAAAAATATTTGCAGGCACAGCCTACTTCTAAAAATTATCGAGATACTGACTTTTTAACGTTATTTTACCATAAATAATTAAAAATGCATCGAACCTTAAAAATCGAAATATCTCAAAAACGGCTAACTATAACGAAAATTCACAAGAGAGCTTTTTTATGTTGAAAAGTGCGAGAAATCAGTTTTTTTTTTCAAAAAGCAAAAAATTGCACTAAGAAAAAATTTTCGGTCATTTAAATATACTACAGGTACAGTAGAGAGCGCCCTCTAGCGGCTACAGTAAAACTATGCCCATGGTTCGTTTTGTCGTACCAAAAAACCCTTGTATACCAATTTTCACTGTTATACATCAAATATTGTTCGAAATATTTAAAAAAAAACTATTTTAGAAAGTAAAATTGAACACCCTGTATTTCGGAAGCCACGCATTTTTCGACCCATGTTTATATAGACTTTATGCATTAATTTTAAAAGTTCTATCGAATCTTAAAGTTATGCAACAATAAGCTGAAACACCCTGTGTTTTTTAAAAAAACACTAACCAATTTAAGAGAATTGAGGTTTGATTAATTTTTGAAACTTTCATATCACATCTTTTTGGAACCTCCACATGTTCAACACGTGCTCAGCAGGCCGACAGTGACGTGCGAAGTTGACATTACTGATATATGATTGACTGTAACGAAATTATTTCGTTACTTGAATTGCCAACTCAATGGGAATTGCGTGTAGTATTTAAGAGGAGCGTTTATGAAAATCCAAAATGTTAATAAAAGAGTTTTAAAAATAATTGTTGTTGTGGAAAAATTTGTATGAAATGTTACCATTCGACAATCGTAGCTTAAGCTAAAGAATTCCAAAGCTTGAGGTTAAAAGATAGGAGAGAAAGTTTCAAAACTGTTGATTTTATATATATTTCAGTGCGCTGTTGAAGTTCTCTTATTATGCAACTTTTATATAGTCGATTTTTAGTATATAAGCTCCTTTTGACGAGTCCTACAAGCAGTTAAAATAAGTGACTCAACTTTGAAAACTCCCTGTATTTCCACGCATATAAAGAGTCTAGATAAGCTGTTTTTTACATAAACTACTTACCAACAAAAACAAAGAACGCACCTTCACGTGACCAGGTAAATCCAATGAAAGGCAATCACAGCATGACCGGAGACGTCAAACCACAGTCACTAGTTGCCACGCGCGAGCGCACTCGCACAAGCTGAGCACCAACAGCTCGTTTCACGGTAATGATGGTAGGGTGCGGACGACGCACGGCCCAACTAAGTCCTTCCAAAGGGGATGGTTGGTTTTATATGGGCCGAACCAGCAATCCAACCGACCCCTCTCCATCTTACAACCGATGCACCATACACACACTCGTACAAAAGAATGGAGGTGGAC